CTGCCTCATGGGCTTGATCTGGTGAGGAGCTGCGAGCCTTGTCCTTAGCATGAACTTGGTTGCTCAATAAGAGAAGCCCACAGGAAGAGCTAATCCAGGGTGCCCACGTTCGAGAGCAGCCCCTTCCCAGGACAGCCGTCCTGGCCTCCTCATGCCCATACCCCCAGGGCCGAGCTGTTCGACTCCTGCCCTATGCCCTGGAAGGCAGCCCCTCTCCCATAGCCTTAGCCCAGTCACACCTTTCTCCACTTCCAGCAAAAGAAGCCTAACATTGGTCCACACAAGCCCAGGCCCAGCCTCTTCCATTTGCTGCTGCCCTGGCTGCCTCCTGGCACCACCAGCACTGGGAGAGCTGAACAGCTGCCTGAGGCAGCGCACGGGGCTAGGGCTGAGGACCAGAAGATGCTGGGCAGTGCCTGCAGGGCTGACATTCCTCTTGTGCCCAAGGATTGTCCTGGGAGGGGGAAGGGGGAGGCAACAAAGATTCTACGCTCCCCCTCCTCTCACTGTGCTTTTCCATCATTTTATTTTTTGGTCAGTTATGAGGAGTCAAATCCTAAGGAACCAGCGGCAGTGACAGAATCCAAAGAGGGAACAGAGGCGTCTGCACTGAAGGGGCAGGAGAAGAAGGAGAAGTGATACGCTGGCACCGACCTTCTGAGGGCCAGACCAGACAGGCGGGGGATGGACCGACTCGGGCATGCGTGGGCAGAGGGCGTCGGAGGCCAGGCCAGCTCCAGGGCAGGAGGGGGCAGCAGGGTTCCTCCAGCCAGGCTTCTGTGGCCTTTGCTTTTACTCTCCCCTTCTCTGGCCTTCCTCTGTGCCTCTCTGTCCCCTGCAGGCAAAGGAAGCTCCCAGTTTCACCCATCCCCAGGAGCCGGATGGGAAAAGTGGGTGTGATTTTTAGGTTTTTGTATTGTGGACGAACTCTGCCTCACATTAAAAACTCATCCAATGGCTGGGGTGGGCCACTGTGCTCTTGGAAGGGTTGGTTCTCTGCATTAGTGCCCAGAGTCTAGCACTGGGCTTCCTAGGTCACCCCTACCCATCCAGAAACTCGTCTGCAAGCCCCTTCCTGGGTGCCCACCCCAGTGCCTGGCCAGTGGGCCAGCCCAGCACACTAAGAACACCCTTTGGCCAGCAGAGGGGGCCCATGAGCCATCGCCAGCCATCAGGTATGCCTCACCTTCCCCCCAGTGAGTGTGTGAGGCAGGTGTTCCCGTGCCCCCCTACCCACCTTGGCAAGAGGTGAGAGAAATACCGAAAGGTTGACCCAACTCAACCAGAGAATTGGAAACTGAAAAGCCTGCCAGCTTCCCTACTCTGGTGTCCATATGGCTTCAACCGGAGCCAGCCTGGATGCTGGGTTGCCCTGCAGGTAAGGCCCGTCACTCCCACTGCATTTTAATACAGGATTTCACTTAATTCTCAGCTTAACATGGTCCCTTTATTAGCCCCATTGTGCAGATAGGGGAGTTGCAGCTTCATGGACAGCAGTGTGACCTCAAGCTAAGAAAGTCATTCCAAGTGCCTAAGGACCATGTGATTCTTGTCCAGACGCCAGGACCGATCCCCTGTGGCTGACGTGCTCAGCACCTCTGAGCCAGCCACCCAACTTCTCTGGGCCCAGGGTTCTCTGGAAAGAAAGGGTAGGAAGTCTCAAAGACTTCTCTAGCTAGGAGGGAGGTGAGGGGTCCATTCTAGGGGCTTCTCAGATCTGTGCCGATTCCTGCT